CTACACTGAAATCTGAACAATAACGTTACTTACCTCTCTATGCCTGTAAAATGGAGCTATTAATAGCTATTTCATAGTCACTGTGAAAAATACAGTTTTCAAAACACCTAGTTGTACCTGGCATGTAGTAGATAGAAAATAAAATGTAGTTATGATGAAAATTGAGAATAGGAAAATCCAGAAAAATGGAAAAACTCAAAGAGTCAAATAATCACTAAACATTGTCTGCCTGAAACAGAGGTAGACAATGTCCTGGGAACCGCCCTGCCTGGCGCGGCTCAGTTGGTTGGAGTCTCCGGTAAACCCGAAAGATCACGGGTTCGATTCCCTGCTGGGGCCCAGGCTGCATTCTGTCCCTGGTCAGGGCACATGTGGGACGCAACCCACAGGAGTTTCTCTCTCACACTGATGTTCCCCTCCCTCCCTTACCCTTTCTTTAAAAATCAACGGGCATGTCCTCAGGTGAGGACAGAGAGAAAGCACTGGGAACATGCACCAGAATTAGATCCTCTTCCTCTAAAAAAAAAAGACAAATGTACCCAAAGGAATACAAAATAATGTACAAAGCACTCTGAGAAACACCAAGGGCTTTTGACTGTCCTCAATAAGGACGTCGGCCACACATAAAGCTGAGCCTTAAAAGAGAGCCACAGGATTCCTTAGATAAAAATACAGTGCGTGTAAGGGCCCAGACATGTCTAAGTGGGAAACGCAGCGTTGCTACCACAGTGTGCACGGGGAGAGGGCTGAGGATGAGGACGGCCTGGCGGACCAGGTGGGGGAGGGGCCCTCCGTTTGTTTAAGGTTGCACTTTGCTCTTCGGGCAGCCGGGAGGTGAGGGGAACAAAATTTAACATGCTAATTTAATAACACAATTTTAAAGCAAAACACCTTTATGACTTTAAATAGCATTATAGGTCCAGGATCTGTTAACCATGAACAATTAACAATGATTGGCTTGGAACCTGTGCTCACCTTTCATTCCTTCAGTAACCCTTGTCATGCTGATTCTCCTTTTGACAGCAGCAGATAAGATCTTTTGAGTTCACTATGTGCCTTGTGCTATGTTGTTTTACATATGCTCTCTCACTCAATTATTACAACACTCTTATGAGGGGCACTATTGTTAATCCCATTTAACAGAATGGAAACCTAAAGCAGAAATGTTGTACTCAGATGGCTAGTGAGTGAAAGACAGAATTCAAATATAGGCTGCCTGACTCCAAAGCCCTCCGTTTAAACCAACCCACTGATTGCTCAGTTCATTTGCATCACTTGCACTAAATTATATGTACGTACCTACTGTAACTTAAGGCATCATTCTAGGTCAGTGATTCTCAAATTTTACTGCACAAAAGAATCAAGCTTTTGACTCAGTCAATCAGTCTAGGGTAGAATTTTCAAAGATCTATAATTTTAACCATAAATCCACTTAATTCTGAGTCACTTGGTCTGATAAACCCTGTGCTATGGGTCCTAGGGATTTAAGGTTATTTGAGCTCCCCATCTTCTGTGAGTTTACGATCTAAAAGAGGTAAAAACAAGACAAAGCAATTCTGAAATCACAACACAGACAATACAGAAAAGAAAGGGTTCAGGAGGAAGAGTCATCCACAATGAAATGAAGATGAATAGGACTTCCAGAGGAGAGGAAACAGGTTCCATGCAGACTTTCAGGACTAATGTTACATACAAAAGAAGGTATGGTAAGTAGACCACTGGGCAGGAACAGAGGACCTGCACTTATGAATGGAAAAATGTCAGGAAAAAAGTAGAGGCTGTGGGATGCCCTCAATGTCAACCTGTATCCAGGGGTGTCCAACCACGGCCCACAGGCTGCATGTGGCCCAGGATGGCTAGGAATGTGGCCCAACACAAAATTGTAAATTTACTGAAAACATTGTGAGATTTTTTTGTTTTTGTTAGTGCTTGTGTATTTAATGTATGGCTCAAGACAACTCTTCTTCCAGTGTGGCCCAGAGACAGGAAAGGCTGGACACCCCTGCTACAGGATGGGCTTTATCTGCGCTAGCAATGCGAAGCTCCTCCTTGGTTTGGGGAAGGAATAATAAATGACAACATTCTTTGCAGCCTTGCAAGATTATGCAGAACTAGAATAACAATGGGAATAGTTAGCCTCTTAGCATTCTAACCTCAAAGAAAAAGGAGTCAGAACAGGGTGGTGAAAAAGTTGAAAAAGGGAGGAATGGTAGACTAATTGCCTGTGGGGCAAAGGCAACAATCACACCTAAATGATTTTTTTCGCCCCTTAAATCCAACTTATATCACTGGAAGCTTCATGTTACTTTTTAAGAACTTCTTCTTATACAGCTAATTAGGCCCAAAATAAGTAAAATTCACTTATTTAAAACATAGCCTATGACTGACTAAAAGGTCAGTAAATAGGCTTCGGAGTATCCAAAATACACGTCCCATAGTTCAGAAACTAAAAAAACAAAAAAGTAATTTATGAATTATACATTTACACATATTATATAAATAACATATCAATGAAAGAACATTATTCAGAGCTACACAATCTCATTTTACACAAAGTTCTAATAAATGCAAGCATCTAATTTCCAAACTCACAGCAGTCTGGAAGCAAAAATTAGAAGGGGAAAATACCCTGCTACAGGTGGACATATTTAAGAGTCTGAGGTTCAAAAGAAATGAAAACTATAAAAAAGCAAACACAATCACTCAGGGTAAAATCTTCACAACTGTTTATTGATAGGTACACGAGTCCCAGAAAAACACATTGATGAGAATCTTGCTTAATGTTTCAAATACCTACCACATACACACAAACTTTTAAACATTCTTTAAAGCTAAATATTTTTAAACAACTATTTACCTGATCAAAAGGTAATTTAAAGGATGGCTGATACATACCAACATAGCCCTCTCATCAATAACCAAGACAGAATCCATATAAATAGTTAATGATAGGACAGATATTTCACAACACACAAAGTTTAAAGACGGTAAAAGTGCTTCCCTAAGGCACCTAATCAAGAATGCGGCCACACTGATGAAGTTTAATTTGAGCCACTCTTCCCTGAGGCTGTGCCTTCGAATTCCATGTTCTAAATAATATGAAGGCATCCTCAACAAAAAATAACACTATTAAACTGGTCTTAAATGTATGCCCTATAAATTTACCTACTGAAATCACATTAACAACATTTGACATTCAACATCCCATTCCAACAGACTGTGTGACAACTTTTAAAAGGACTTTAAACATAGTAACACATATAGGCCTCTCACTGGGTTCACCAACACTCTTTAATGTTTATTACAATACTATTCACATAAGGACTTCAATTATTTTATAAACAGATGAAAACAGTATTTTTGTGGGGGGGGATGTTAACTGATTCAAAGTTATACTTAAGTTTATGATTAAGTTTAAAATATATACCAAAGCCACATACCTTTAATCATGTAGATGTATACCACATATTAATTATTGGAGTAAGAACAGTTTAGGTTTCAGCTTGACACCTTTTTTAATAGCAGAAAAGCAAATCAGTGTATATTTACAACACTATAACATTAAAATAAAATTACCTTAATTACGTTGCAGGGATAAATCAACTAAATGGAACTAGACCTCTGGTATTTTTCAGACACAGTAAAGGATAGAGAAAATTAGGGACCATGCTTATTTCAAAAAATCTCATCAAATGATCAAGCAAATGAAGATATCAAAGGTTAGGATTAAGGTGCGAAACACCAAATAGGCTGCATTATAAATATTTAAACAAATGGAGCAGTCAGTTGCACCTGGTTGCCCCCCCCCCCCCCCCCCCCGCTCCATACCATCCTTGTCCTTGGCATCATCCTTGTTATCCAGAAGCAGACAATATAAGGACTCTAACTGAAGACAAAGAAATGTGCCTTGGAGATAGTATAGTATTTTTCAAACTGCAGTTTCTGGCCCATAAATCAATGTTATAGATTTAGTCATTATTTTTTAATGAAAGAGAATCGGATGTAATAGAAATTGTTAAGACTGCATCACGAGTCATACGGGTCAATATAAAAATGTGCTTTTCACTTTGGAGCATGATTTCAAAAAATGAAGTTTGCAACCTCCTACTCTAGAGATCTAGGTCCACCGGGTCCGGACCCAGAGGCGGAACGTTCTCAAGGGCCCCCGGCGCGCGCACACACTCGCCGCCCCACAGACGGGCTCCGCGGGCCCAGCGGCCCTGCCCCCGCTACACCTGTCTTTGCGCTAGAGCGGCTCACTTCCCGCGCGGCCTCAGACGGCGCCTACAGCCTTCCGGGCAGAACTCCGCCTTCCTCCACCGACCGTAAACAGTGCAACGTGCAGTCGGCTTCCCTCGACTGCAGCCGCCAGCGTCACTGCGTCGCAAGAGAAGGCAGCGTTAAACCTTCCCGCTTCGCTGGCCCCGGGGGTCCCTCCACGGCGAGTCTCAGAGCGCTGAGCCCGGGACAGGGCGCCCCTCCCAGGCCCCGTCGCGCGCCAGCTCCTCCTTCTCGGCGTCCCCCAGCTCTGGGGCGACGCGGTTCTCCCAAAGCCTTTAAACTAAGCCGCTCCATCCTTTCTTCAGCCCCGGGAACAGCAGGCCTAACGTCCCCAGAGCCCGGGTTTACCCGCCCGCGGAACCTCCCAAGGGAATGTCCTTCACTTTTTTTTCCTTTTGATTCAGTGGCTCAGAGACAAGTTTCTCATTTACAACCCCAGCTGCCCCAGACTCCTCTGCCTCTTCTGCCAGCCAGGAGGCCGCTTCCGACCCCGCGCGGCCTTGGGCTCAGGGAGGCGCCGAGCTCCCCTCGAACTCACACCGCCTATCCACGCGCCCCTATCCTGGCGGTCCCTCTCCCAGCCCCGGGCAGGGGGCCCGTCCGTCCCCGCCTCCGAGCCAGGCTTCGCCCCGCTCCCAGGTCCCCGTGGTGGCTCACACTGCGCCCTCCGCCCCCAGGCGGCCTCCGCTCCTCGGCTCCGAGAGCCCGGCCCCACTCACCCCGCAGCCCGGGAGGCGGGGCTCCGCGGCGGCTCCCTGAGCTGCGCCTGCCGCCCCCCTCCCGGCAGCGCCACGGCAGCCGCTCGGCCTCGGCGCGGTCCCGGCCACCCCCGGCCCGCGCCGCTTCACCTCGTTCCCAACTCAGGCCGCAAACCAGTGTCCTGCATTGACCCGGAAGCAGCTGTCAAGGCCCAACAACAACACGTGACCCTGTCGCACGTTCACGTCCGCTGCGTGAAGCGGAGGGGGCGGAGGAGCTGGTTGCCATGGCGCCCGAAGAGCTCTACCGCCTGGCTGTTACTAGAAAGATACCTGGTGTGCTCATTCTGTGGCACATCATGAGGGGACACCTAGGTGCATCTTGAGGAGCCACTTAGGTACATTCTGAGGGGACACCTGGGTGCATCTTGAAGGGACACCTAGACGTAAAAGAGGTGCATAGACTGCGTCACTTCAGAGGGAACTTAGGACAGGTCAGAGCAAACCTGGTCTGGGGAGAGGCTGCGGCGTACAGACGGGAGCCTTGGGCTGAACCTTTCCAGGATGACTTGGAATTTTGTCCCGGCTGTCACTCATTTGTAGTGTGAGCCTGATCACCTCACTCCTGTCTCTGGCTCCAGTGTCTTCACTGGGAGCGCTCTAGGCTGTCACCCAATACCAACCCAGAGGCCAAGAGGCATTTGCAGGTGGATGTGGCAGCACTCTGGCCTTTGTCCCGTGTCCCCGCCCAAGGCCGGTGGCATCCTGAGCCGCCAGTGCTCCAGGGCCGCTGTGCTCACAGCAGCTTGCATTGACTGAGCCCCTTCGAGGCACCAGGCACTGTGCGCCCGCTCCTTCACACTTCACAACCTGCCAAGAGCAGGCATTTCGTAGATTGGAAAACCGAAGTTCACAGAAGCTCGCAACCTGCTCCAGACCACCCGGCAGGCCAGGTGAGCAGGCCAGGTGAGCAGGCCAAGGCCTGAGTCCGGGCGCCTGGCGCCGAAGCCGGCAGTCGAGGCGCTCCCGGCCTGCCGTGCCGTCGTCCAGCTCCGCGCGCACAACCCTGACTGTCGGGCTGTGGCTGCTTATTCCTTCTTTGTCCATTGCCTTTGCAGGAACAGGCGTGGAGTCGGAGGGCGCTGGCTGACCCTGGAGAGAATCCCGTCTCCACGGCCGTGTTAGCTGAGGGTCAGGCGCTGCGGAAGTCGCTCGCAGGAGGCGAGCGTGCCGTCCTGTGGTGGTTGTCAGAGCAGGCGAGGGGCTGGGCGCGCAGGCCCGCGGACGGAGGAGGCACTCCGTCCTAGGCGCCGGACACGCAGTTCCTCAGGGGGGCCCAGTGGCAGTTCCTGCGGGCTGGCTTCTCTCATTTTGTTTTGTTTTCTCTTGTCCCATAGGAACGGCTTAATGGAGTTGGAGGGGGGAAATCCTGCAAGACCCGGTTAAAGAAAATGCTCTGAGGATGAAGGGGAGGGGAGCCAAGCGGTGTGTCTAAGTTTGCTGAGGCGGGGCTTCCCTCCTCCTGCTGCAGAGAACAGAGTGTCTTTCTGGCACCTTAAGATTAGTGGCTTTGGGAGCATCAGGAGTGGCATGATGACAGTCAAAAGTAGCCTCAACAAGATATGCACCAATGAGGAAGAACAGGGTGGATGCTGCATAGATACTCAAATAACAGACTTACTTGTGACTTCAGGGACGCTTAGGGACGCCCAGAAATACTTGGGAAGTTAAATGTATTCTGAGCAATTAGGAAAAAAGGCAAGAAATGTGGGTCATTACTGTTGATAAATACCGTGTACATGGTATATAAATGTAAAAAGTATTTATATGACTGGGTGTGAATAGTTATATACTTCTTTATTTCTCTGACATATTAGTGAATCACTTTTTTCCTCCTTCTCTCCTCTTATAAAGCAAATTCCTAAAGACAAGATCAATGTCTCCGCCCATCTCCAATCTGTCCACACAACACAGCCAGAATTATCTTTCTAAAATGCATATCTGATCATGTTACTTCCTGTCTCCTCTTAATCTGCACCTACCCTGTTAGTCTGGTAGCCACTACCCACATATGGCTATTTAAATTAAATTAATTAAAATTAAGTTAAATTAAAACTGCATTTTCTGAGACAGGACACTACCCACATTTCAAGCACCCAGTAAAGTATATGTATGTGGCTAGTGCTGTAACGATGGACACTGTCAATGTAGAATATTTTTAACATCACAGAAAGTTATTGGACCCTGTTGCTTTATACTCTGAATTCCTCATGTTTCTGTTCTTTTGGAACCTTGCTAGGCTCTTTGCTTAAAACATCCTTCTTCTATATCCTTGAGACTGAAAATTATACACAATTGCTTATTTTCTTATTGCCTCTTTGACAAGCACATAAGCCTCTACGAAGGCAGGAGCTAAGCGGGTCCTGTGCGTGTCGAACCCCCTGCCTCTAAAGGACTGCCACATAGAAGGAGAGTAGACAGTGAGCTGAAGTGAGAGGAGTTAACACAAAGGAAGATTCCTGGTGATTTTTTTTATTAGAACTTGTTGATAATTTGATCACTTTAACCTACAAACAGCAATTACATATGGTTCAGCCTAATATGTCTGATGACAGGACATGTGGTGGAGTAGGTGGAAGTTACACTCAACTCCTCCCAGGACCAAACTGGAATTACAACTGAAATATAGAACAATCATCCAGAACACCCAAATGAAGAATAGCAGAACAAGTCTCAAAACCAAAAATTTACAGAAGAAGCCACATCAAGACTAGTAGAAAGGACAGAGATGCAAAAAGGGCTAGCGGCACACCCATGCGCAGCACTGAGTATCTAGAAGGATATCTCAGCTGCAAAGTTTCCCCCTGAGGAGTTTGGGTCTCAATCCTATGTCTGGCTCCTCAGTTCAAACACCAGAGCTGGGAAGAGGAGCCCACATAACATCTGGCTGTGAAAATCAGGGAGGATTCTATCTGCCAGGGAGAGATGAGAGTCTGCTAAAAACCCTGGTGCCCTCTTACAGAGCAGTGCACAAAATATCATTTGCAGCTACTTGCCCTGGAATCAGGCAGAGGGAGGACAACTTGAGCAAACTAGAGTCATGCAAGGAGAGACCGGGCTGTGTGGCTCAGGGGAGCGAGCTGAAGGGACAGCCGCCAGTGTCCATATGCTGAGTCACCCACAGATGCCATCTTTTCCAGATCGAGCACCACCTGCTCTACACCATGGCCTGGGGGAATGCAACAGGACCCCCACACTGCCACCTCCCAGTCGACCTGCCCTGCAGAGGTCATGATGTGCAGAGGACTCAGCTGCCTGGGATTTTGGTGCAGAGGAGTGGACTAAAAGAGGCAGTGTCACAAACTGAGTTGTGTGGCTCGGAGGCTGAGGATATTATCCCTCCTTCCTGAGAGCTGCCCTCCAGTGGAAGATCCATTAGCACCACCCTCTCAAATTCTAGTATACTTGCTCTGCCGAGCTAAGGGTCTCTCAAGGAGTTCCAGGCAGAACTCAGGACAGTATGAATTGTGTTGGTTTAGGGTGGGGTTTATTTTTTTTTCTCATACCTGACAAGTTCACACAGCCAAATATTGATCTTTTTGGGCCTCATAATCTGTGCTTTCTCCGCCCTGATGACTCCCTGTGACCCCACCTCAGCATGAAAATCCATGGGCACCTAGAAGTGGCAGCTGGCCTTGGTGTATTCTGATACTTTTGTTGAGTATCCTCAGATCAAGAACTGGCACTGATCATCAAGCTGGTGAACACCACTCGCCCCTACCCGGTGACCCTACCTGGTAGAGGATCTACCTCATGCAACTCATGTACCACCAGAGGATTTTCAGTGACTGAGCCTAATAGGAAGCCAGTGTCCGGGGGCAGGGGAAGATCATGGGATGCCTTGGACCTCTTTCTGATCTGCCCCTGTGATTGGTGCTGGTGGAAGCTGGCTTTGGTGTGCAGCTTCCCACCTACACCCTGGGCCAGGAGATGCAGCCTTCTGCATCTTCTGTGATCAAACTGTAGCTTTAAACAGGTTGCCAGCACCAGTCACAGGCAGCATCTGCCATTGGCCTATAGTGGAGTCCCTCCCAAGAGATTCAAAAGCCAGCACACCCAGTAGTGGGCTTCACATCAGAGCAGGGCCCAATTTGCTGCCCAACTGGCACATCCAAAGATAGATCTTGGCCAGCAACACACCCTTCTGGGGCAAATTCCAGTTTGTTTGGTAAATACACACACAGTAGCTTATACACTGTGGTTGAGGTGATCCTCAAATTCAGCCAAATGTAAGGTTGACTCTATACACAGACAGGTCAACAGCAATCAAGACTCAACTACAAAAGACTGCTTACATAACCCATACAATGGACATTCTTGGAGAACACAGGTCAGGTGATCGGGAGACTGTATCACTGAAGCCCATAGAACACTTATGCATAAGGCTACCCTATCAAGTCTGGGAGAAATAACAAATGTACCTAATACACAGAAAAAAAAGAAAAACATAGGCAGCCAACATGGGGAGACAATGAAGCATACCCCAAATGAAAGAATATCAGAAATCTCCAGAAAAATAAAAGAAATGGAGGCAAGCAATCTACCAGACATATAGTTCAAAACAATGGTTATAAGGGTTGTCGAGAAACTTAGTGAGAACTTCAACAGCATAAAAAAGGACATACAAACCATTAAAAAGAACCAGTCAGAAATAAAAAATACAATTTCTAAAATGAATAGTTCAATAGAAGGAATCGACAATAGGTTAAATGAAACAGAGGATAGAATCAGTGGTTTGGAAGATGAGGTAGCAGAAAACACACAATCATAGCAGCAAAAAGAAAAAAATTAAGAGGTCTTTAGGACAATATAATACGTACAACAGAAGAATAAGAGAGCAAAAGACTGAGAACTTATCAGAAGAAATAATGACTGAACTTTTTTTTTTTAACTTGGTGAAGGAAAAAGACACATATGCCCAGGAAGTTCAGAAAGTCACAAACAAGACCCATACCAAGACACATTCTAATTAAAATGCCAAAGGTTAAAGACAAAGAGAAAAATTTAAAAACAGCAAAGAAAGATAGTTAGTTACCTACAAGGGAGTTTTCATATCACTGTCAGCTGATTTCTTAATGGAAGCATTTCAGGCCAGAAGGAATTGGCATAAAGTATTCAAAGTGATGAAAACAAAGGACCTACAA